CAATTTTTCTCTTCCAACGACCGTAATTTTGAAATGCTCATCAACTGTATTCTTAGGTTTTTTTAAAACAAGTACTCTGCTAGGACCAGCTACTCGACCCGTCGGCATATTTCCCACAATTCGTTTACGCGCTATGCGCAGGCGAATCGGACCATGCTTTTTCTCTTGAAATATTATCAAATGCTATACAAACTGTGATCCAAAGAAAGGCCACATTTTACCGTTCTGATAGGAGGAATGCATCCTGCATATACATATTATTGTGTTCGATATTAAAGTTTTCGTTTAAGAAGATATATTACCAGAAAAAATTAAATAGCGAAGAAACGGCAATGATGACTCTTCGAATGTATCGAAAAGTGAAGGGCACACTCTAACTGATACGGCGATAAAGGTTCAGAAAAAGAGTACAGAAAACCTGCCTATTGGCATCTTTTTGGTTGGCCCCCAATGTTGTACAAATAACGAAAGAATCACTTCAACTCCCTGTAAAATTTTCTTTTTTCCGAAAAGAAAATTAAGGAATCAGAGAAAATGGATAGGCAAGGGGCAAAGCTGATTAAGAAAGAAATGGGGTGAAAGGCGGGACTAGCGGGAGAGATGATGAAAAAGATGGATCGGCCCAGTGGACCCGGTTTTTCTTTCTCCTTTACCACCTTTTTACACTGTAATGACCAGCCACCATCACCATCATCATTACCATCGCCCTCACTCCCATCGCCAATACCACTTCACCTCATCAACAGTATCACCATCATCACCATTACTTTTCGTCTTCAGTCAAAAATGACGCAAACGAATTTTGCTCAATACCTTATTAAAGTGATTCAGGCCGATCAGCCTATTTTGTGTCATTCACTCGTACTAACAGGCAGGCACTCAAGCCAACCAGATTAACTTCTAATTAAACATTGGGACACAAGTGATCAACTGTTATTTAGAATCCCTTAGCAAAGAGCATGCTTGACTTCACATAACCCTTTTCGTCTAACTTCGAAAGAAAATCTTTCTGCTCCAATCATCTTCATTTCTGGAAAGTACCGCTCTCTCTTGCTCTCTCTTTCTTTCTTTCTGTTCTTTCTTTCTTGAAGACATGATTAACAATCATTAATTCTTATACATTTCTTATGCACTAATGGAAAAAAAAGAAGTTCCTGTGAATGTTTTTTTCATTTCATCAAAAGCGAAATATATTTCTCTCTCCCTTTATCGTAGATCGTTGTAACACTGCTCATATTAATCTCTAGTTATCATGACATTATAAGATACTTTGATCAAGTAAGTATAGATAGAGTTATGTGGTCCATAATTAGTCGTATGTATTCACAACCTATACCTTCTAGACTCGCCTACGTTTATAATCCAAAAGTTTCCCTCATGGTGGTTTTAAAAAAGTGAAGAAGAAGGTATGCTGTCAATCATCGGCAATGATTTGTAACTGTCGTCGAGCCGTATTGTCCAACTTTTTCAATTTAACTGTTCAACGATTCTTATCCATTATCAATTCTTATTCTTATCAATTCTTATCCATTCTTATCAAGTTAGGGATTCGGGGATTTTGATGAATTAAGTTGAATTCTCTTCGCGATGACTCTTGGAAGGAAAGAGTTTGAATGCTAATTACATTTTCAAGGTAGCAAAAGTTTTACCTATTCGAGAATAAACCTTACTTCCTCCTATAAAATCGATAATTATTTTGGACTGCTGTTAGAGAAAAAAATTAGAAAGACGAATGACCCAATATTTTTCATATACGTTTCCGTCAAAGCAAAAAAACGAAAAGATACTCAAAAAACAATTCTTTACTTTTAACACATTCAATTCTTCCCCTTTTTTTAATGAAAAAACAGCAACTTCTGAAATTTATTCACATTTTTCTCCTTCTCTTGGTAAAAAAAAAAAAGAAAAAAATAAAGGAATAAATAGCTAAAGTGCAAAAGCATTGCCCATTATTATTATTAGTATTTCACAATGCATGCAGGACAGCTTGCACTACACTATCATTGTCATTAGCGGTAGTATCAGCTGTTGCTAGCAATACCATCAACACTAGAAAAACCACAAATGCAGAAAGGGAAAGTTTTTCAGTGAAAAGGAAAAAAAGCTTGGAATCAGACACAGACGAATCAGACTGAAGTCTTGGACACTAAAGTTTTATGTAATTAGTATTAATAAGAAGTGCGATCAAAGTGGCAAGTGACTGAAACAGGAACTAAGCTATGCAGTGGTTCCACAGCAAAATATTTTGCCTAATTTGCTCTTTTACTTGGTACCATTTTTATCCAGGAAGTCTGACCGACAAACATCTCAGAATTTGTTTTAATTGTTACACGAAGCATAAAATCCTAAGAATAGAGAATAGATTTGTAAAATTTATTTCTCGAAAATAGACAACATGCTGTTAAGTCAGCAAAAAAATAATTTCCTGAACGTTTCAGGATTAATTTACGGTAGCGTAAAAGGATTTGATTGTATAGTGCACTTCTCGCATCATTTTGCAGGAAGTATTGTCTGCAAACAACATCTTTTCGAGTGAAATGTATGACACATGACGAATACCGTAATCGACGATAAATTTCAAAGAAAAATCGCTTTTCTCAAAATCCAAAAATTTAACTTTGAAATTTCATGTCTGTAGAACCTAAATTTTGTTTTAAACTTGAAATTTTTCAAATTGAAAGGAAATATATCCTAATGCAAAATATTGTCGATCGGCAAATTCATAACAATTTCACACCATAATGTCTTATAAGGTTTCCACTTGGAAATAAAATATTTAAACATATACGAAAATTAAAATGTAGAAAGAAGTTGCTGAAATGTAATTCCGGACATGAAAGGAGATGGGTCAAAAGATGAAAATTCTGCTAATACATATTGAAGTCTAAATAATCTGACAAATATTGACTCTTGAAAATCAGCAGGAATTAATAATCCTATTGTGTCATCCAAATAGAACATCCATCTGTTAATGATTTTAAACCCTTTTCGATGCTAGAAAGCAATTAAATCAGTTCTGAAAAACTGCTACTATGGACGACATTGTATTTTTATTACTAATTACTAATAAAAAAAAGTTTCGTCTTCATGCAGAACTATTTTACTATTGGAGTAAATGTAAGAGAATTAAATCTCTAGGAATCTTAAACCTTAATTCCTGATCCCAGATGAAAACTACAGTCATTTGGAAAAAGTTTTCTTCTAATTAATTAATTCTGTGACGTATAACCGGAAGAATTAACAATCTACAGATTATGCATGATGAGGAAAAACTACTGATTTAGGAATTGTCATATTTAAGATTTTCACATATTTTCCATTAAATCAACGAAACGTTTTTATTCAAAAATCGCTTTATTTCTGATATCTTTTTTTCCGATATGTTCTCGATATGTTCTTGTTTAAAAATTTAAAAACCTGTTTGAAAAAGCTCTTCTCTTCTTCCTTACTTTCTCTTGTCATTTTTGCTACTGCACTGGCAAAGCTTATAGGTAAAGGAAAGTCCTAAACAACGCGACCAAGCATCATCTTTCGATCATGAAACCTGCATCCCTTCTGAAGATTGCAAAATTTGTAATCATCAATAGATTTTGTTTTTGCCATTCGCTACCATCTATCTGCTAAATTTTGTTTTAATAGCAGAAATTTTTGGTTTGATTTCTAGAATAAATATTAATTAATGAATACTATTGAATAATTTCATACAATCAATTAATTGTATAAATTTATTCCTTCGCATCTGAAGGCATCCATCACTATTGCTGTAGCCATCACCATTTTTCTTCTAAATAAATAGTAGGCGATCATTCTTTTTTTAAGGTTCAGGGAAATTTTGTGGTTTTCATTTGAAATTTCCAATTTTTTGAATGTTTTACTACTCATGAAATTTGATTTCATTCATACAAAAAAATATTTAAAAGTTTCCTAAAACAATTTTAGGACTTTTTTTACAGAACTTTTCGTACCTGGCGATGATTATATTCACTGTGAAGCTATTTTCCTCTCCTCTAACACAAATATGCAATTTTAAATATTTTACAAAGTATTCTTCATACAGAAATCGCCCATACTACTTTTTAGAACGATTCGAAATAATGATAAACGTGCGTTAAGTGAAGTAATATTTGGTAGTTTAAATGTCACTGTTACAAGAAGGTTACCAATTCACTTCTACAACACTGTAAAGATTGCATGTATTGCAATTAATTTAGCTCAGTTGAAGAATTGAAAGGTGGGTCCGCTGTATGTCAATTAACATAATAAAGAAGGAAAATTCTTAAAGATAAATTAGCATAAAACAAAAAGTGTAGCTGACCCGCTACTTCGCTGTCAAAGTTCAATACAATGCTACTGTTTGCCACAGACAGAACCTAATCATAGAAATCGTTTGAGATACGTGAATGCATTCGGTATGTAAGAATGTAAAAATACAATTTTGGTTTCTGTCTCTCTAAATTGCATATCTGGATCGCCAACTTTTACACTCAGGTTAGATTGTTCATCCGATCCATATATATCCGTAAAGTACTGACATCATGTCTACACTTTCGACAGGATTCACATGATTTCCATGAAGAATGATGATAATTTCACGTAAGTATACGCACGTAGACATGAAGAAGGCAAATAGAGAAAAAAAATTAATTGAGTGAATGCAAAAGAAAAAGTTTCGAAATGTATAAAAAGGAGCTTTGCCGGTTTAAATGTGGTGCTGCCCGAAAAATACATCTGCGAAGAGTGCAACCTGATCGATGGAGCTAAACAACTCACTGCTTTCCCGAACAGCCCATCCAATCGGTTACATCAGCTGAAAGCTATACACTCACACCCATAGACACCCATACAGACACACACACACACACATCCATACACATCCATGCACATATATCATACATACATGTACTTAACTATCTACATAGACAGACAGGGAAAGAACACACCGATGTCGGTTGTCGCCATCGTTGTCGTCGTCTCTTGTCTCTTGTAAGTCCGTGTGCACGTATATCGTGGTTGTCTCCGTATGTGTCTGTGTTGGATAGACATTTCTATGTAATGACTGCAGGGATAGGCCCATTCAGGAAGGCTTCTATGGCGTCATCATATCATTATGGAAGCATTCAGCTAGTTTAGGCCTAAACAGGAGCACAAAGCAATATTCAGGAAATGTTGCTGAATAAGTTCTTCATAATTAGCATTTCGTTTCTACCGTTCAGTATATGTAGGAAAAATGATTTCATTCATAAGTATTAGAAGACGAAGATCTTTAAAAAACGGCGAGATCAGTGGTCAGTAACTGATTCCGACAATTTCATTCCACTGCCTTCGATCAAAGTAATTTTGTAATTGATGTTGAACTACAAATGTTTTTCTCTGTTAAAGCCTATTCACTTTCGACTCTTTCTAGCTTTTCGACTGTGTAATAATCTTATCAAATTTTTACGAAAGGAGCATGCGCTGCGGAAATTTCACAATTACTGGAGTGATTTTGGCGCTGTAGAATCATTTGACGCTATTGAAACACTAGAGATGACCATTTCCAGATAACCATTCCAAATTCGTTAATCCTTGATTTGTCTTATGTCATTTGAGATCCGCTACTTAGATAGACTTAACGAAGAGAATTAAAAATAATAAGTGCAATATATGAACCTCTTTGACGGAGCAGAAAATGGTTAAGTAACTTGTTCGTTACCTGGATTGCTACAATGAGGCAACATTACAGTAATTGTAGTCACATCTGTATAGAACCTTGTAGATATATTTACAAAATTGGCTAATGGAGACATTTCTGTAAAGATAAGTGTGTAAAATGATCTATTCTTAGTTAAACACCTTACTGTTTATTTCTCGTGCATGTGAAACACTCCCTCCATCCTTATTTCCATGTTCGGGCGGATACGCTGAGAATAAAGTATCAATAAATGGATTTTTCTAGTTAACCTTTCTGCCATTGCTGTTCATCGATCTTGTTTAATTCAATAACATGGATTATATAATTGTTATCCTACTCATTAGTTTTAAAAGGTCAAGCAAAGAAGCTGTCAAGTAACTTTTAGTTGTAATCAAGTGACAAAGAAATATGAAATACCACGATTGACAAATTAATCTGAAATGAAACAATATGACATAAAAATCAACAGAGTATTTTTGACGATAATAGAAACATTAAATAAAGAAATAAAAGTGGAGCTATATTAATTACTGGTTTTATTTGAAACATGAAGAGAAATTGAATTTACCACTACTCCATCACGGTAAATAACTTGTTCATCAATTGCCGTACTTCAGTAACACTAAAACCGCTTATCAAACTAACTAACACAAACTAAGACTACCCTTGAAATGCGTTTAACATTGATGAAAGTGCAGTCAGTAAAACCATCACTTATTTGCTTATCCAACATTCACATACTTCATAGTTCAGTTCAAGAATAGAGGAACTGGAAACATTTTAATCTTTTCTCTTCTTTTTACAACAAACTATGTATGCTTTTTGTTCTGAAATTTCAAAATCTCGCCGTTTGAATCTACAACATAATACTTGAAAGTGATAATATATTGTACTGTCAACTTTAATCAATAATTTCGTCATTAGTATTTCATATTTGTCATTCGAGTTAAGTCTTTTTGTCTGCCTTGTTATTGTATGTTTTTGAGTATTAAACCAAAGCAAATATATAGAAAAAAAAAATGGAAAAATCGCAACGTACACATCTTCCAATGTATATAATTCTTTTAAAACCGAGTTTTTTTTTGCTTTTTCCCCTTCTTATTTTGATGTTCGGTTCATTTCACTTCCTTTCCAATATTTGAAAATGTTCTCAAATGTCTCCTTTCCTTATCAGTATTAAATGTTTGCATAAGGCAGCATTAGACAGCGGAAAAAAAAATCTCATTAGTAATTGAAAAAGGGCGTTCGGTATAAAGCTATGAATTCCATTCAGTACAACATAGATGTTCGATCAGAAAATTTGCTTAATTCTTGGAAAGGACAAAATTAAAAGCATGCATTAGAAGTTGAAATTATTTAGCAGTCTTAAACCATTTCATTCATACTACTCATTAATGTCATACTGTATGCTAAATAAATTAACCTCAAAAAAGGACAAAGATTATAAGAAACTGAGGAAAGGAATTAGTTCAAGTGCTAATTAAGAATGCAACCACCGCTTAAACCAGAAGACTGTAATGCTAGCATTGCCGCCTACTGCAACGGCAAGGCAATTGGTGTTCAGCGATTGCCCCTGCATTCTCTATATCATGCATAGTAAACATCACATATATTTTACATATTTAACCATCCCGCTTGAATACGGTATCCTCAACTTCATGGACAAAACCGTTGATAAAATGCTTTGACCGATCTTTCAATTATCATAGAACAAGCAGCATTAGATATCACTGGCTGATAAGAGATTTGAGAATAAAAGGGATATGTCACTTCACATGTTGTAGATGGCGATGAATTTTATTATTTTTGCCTGAATATCACAGTTTGGTTGAGCATTTAACAAGTGCATCTGCTACTGTCTGATAATTGGACTTTTATTCAATTTTATTATTTAATATTTCAAATGTTTTAATCTGAGAAACAAACTCCAAAATAGGCTGGATTTATTTTTCGGAATTGTTTTTAAAAAAATTAGCTATTTCACAAATTATGCCGAAAAATTGGTTTGTAAAATGTGAGAAAAGGGAAAAAGAGGAATGAAGAGAGGAACCTCCAGTAATGCATCGAAATTTTCATCTGAACTTATTCAGAAAGGAAAAGAAAGAAAAAAAAACTTCCATTCAAAAGATTCCTTTTTCCATCTTTCTATTTCTCTTGTCCAATTCGAGGAAAAGAATTTCAAATTGCATCTTACGCAATAGTTGCTGAAGAAGAAAGTGAGACAAGAGAAAAGTTAAAATAATTTTGACATTCTTGGAATCATAAACCATCTGTGCATCGTTTAAAATTGCTTTTTTTAAACATATTGCAAATATTTTAATTAATTCGTTATTATGATATTATGAGGTTATTATGATGCAAATGTCACGCTGAAAAAGAAATAAATAACATCAGTGACACCAATTTAGAAGCGCCCACAAATACCTTAAGGAGTGGACAATATGATTTATGAAACACTGATATGATGAACACAAAAAAGGAACAATCAATTTCGCTATAATATCCCATATCTATTCAACTGGGCGATTTCAAGACTTCATATCAAGGTTGAATTAAATCAGTAAATGGAACAGACGAAATCATCAGGCTCATTTAACGGTAATAGTGAATTTGGAAGTAATATTAGGAAAATTATTCATTCTATTCAGATTAAAATTTTATCTTTTCCCATTGTAATTGTAGGATGAGTAATTCTTCATTATAATTATCAGCTTAATAGCCAAGATGGGTTACTGCCCGGTTGTATATTATTTCTGTAAGACTGGACCTCCTCGAAGACATGACTCCCCTAATGTTCTATTAATGTAAATTATTTTATCAGAGTTAATTTTACGATTGACTTTTATTGAATAGTCCCAAATGCAGCATTTCCTCTGACATTTATCAATGCGATGCACACCTTTTTCATCCCATCCATAGAATGATCAGGAGATAATTAATAAACAAACCAGAAATATTCAATTTTAATGCTTCCTTTGATATCGACTGATTCAAAAGAAAAGTATCAAAAAATATTAAAGTGGAGTAGCTTAAGGGTATTCCAGCTTAAGGATTGGAATGTTGCGCCTACCTCTCTTTACATATACAACTGCATGATGAATGGACAGAAACGATCAATATAAGCCATTTGTTTTCTAATCTTTGAGGAAAAATTTTTTTTGAAATTCATTTCGTATTTGATTAAATTTGTCAATAAGTAAGAAGCGCTTACCTTCAAAGGCAATCATTACTAATAAACGCAGGAGTATTGAAATATGGGATCAGTGTGCAATATAGATATAAACTTATTGCAGACAGCACTACAGTTAAAAATTCGCTTTTGGCCGCATTCTGCTTCATCTGTTAATAACAGAAGCCCATGTGGTAGAATATCATTTCACCTTGTGGTCATATCATGCACACCATTTGATATCTGATGATCTTACTGACAGTTGAAGAAGTAGTTGATGATGTTGATGATAGTGGTAATGATAATAATAATAATGAGAATAGTACTTATGGCATTGATAGTACTGATGTATCATGCTGTTAGTGATAATGATGGCAAATGGTACAGCAAGTGATATGGCTGTCCAATAAAAACAACATATTTCTGTTGAGCGAAAACAATGATGATGTTGAAGGGATTTTAACATCCAAAAAGATCGCTGATTTTTCTCTCACGACCATTTGCGACAATCATAACAGTATCGTCCCAGCAGTGGTCCAAATATGAATCATATAAGAGACAGGAGAGGTACGAGGAAGAAAACAAATTGAATCAGAAGCAGCAGAGGAGGGATACTAATTCCCAATTATGTGCCATATAAAAACTATCACCAAACACGTGCACTTCCCAGCAATGCCATTAGAGAATTCATGACTTTCGAAAATTTGTTTGGGTGAAAAAGAAAGAAGATGAGCTTACTATCAATATGCAGAATACTTATAGATTAATCGTAGTGATAACAGTTCACTAAATATCTTATCATCTAATAGAATAATTAATCATCAGTTAATAGGATAACTGCTTATTTTTCTAACTAAATTTCGAAAAGAATATAATAAAAACTAAGGGTAAAAAGTGGAGGAGAAAATCTGATTCTGCTTGTAAATTCTTCTAACATGACATTGTTTTGTCACAAGAATTCAAAAGTATTTTCCTTTCTTCTCGTCAGTGACTGTGATAAGAAAAAAAAGTAGAAATGATGAATAAAATTCAATTAGATGTGGATTTAATGAAAAATTTTGCATTCAGAATAATGTTTTGGTGTAATTAGTTAACCATTTCATTTTGTTGCTAACTGACTAATTAAGAATACTCTCATATCATCATTTCTGTATATCGAGACCTTATCATCATTTTTGTATATTGTTCTCAGCGTTTCTCAAGACATTAATATATGACAAATAGCGTCATTTCACGTTTTCCCTCAACTTCTGTTATTTTTCTGCAGTGCAAAAAGTACCCTCTGAAGATACTGGAGTGATTCGCAATGCTTCTTTCTTTCTTGTATCAAAAGGAATGGATTTCAAAAAAAAAAATTTTTCGTAGATATGAATTTTTGGCCATTTTTCGCAAAAAAAAAAACTGTGTAACAATGGCAATGAAGTGACAAAGGGATCGCGACAAGAACGAACCAGTTTTCTGAGCTCTTTCAATAAACTAAAAGTAGTGTAACTACAAAAATTTTTGTTACAGCAACTTACAGAAAGATGTTAGTATTTAAAAACTTCTACTTAGACAAGCAGACTCGTACAAAAGCAATGAATTATATATGCGGATTGACAAGCACTGTTGGAAATTGTCGCCAAACAGTAAGCGAAGAAAATGACACACTTCCAGTAGTGATAAGAACGAAAAATTGTCACACTCATACGACTCCATAATTTTTTTCGTCACTTCTTTTTTCTGATTCCTCATTAAACAACCCTTTTCTGGTGCTGATGCGCAGTAGGTGAGAGTAACTGATACTGTAACTTACAGTCTTCATTAACGAATTTTTAGCTGAACAATTATCCTTAGGAAACGAAAGGGGACAGTAACGTAATTAGTCACAAAGTCTAAACTCCATAGTATGAAAATAATATCAAAAAAAGATAAATGAATCCAAGAAAAGCGCGAAAGAACACTTACTCTTAGTATCTTAGCTCTTCATTATTGCGAGGCGTCTAATACTATCTAACTTAGAAATTTACCAGTTTAGCCGTAGCATCGACGCTTTTGAAACTTAAATACACTTCTAGTATCAATAAATTCCAACACCTGGAAGATTAACAGCATACCTCACTCATACGGAAAAGATAACGGGAATTTATTTCTGTGTTCATCAGCCTGAACTGCAATGCGATGGACGTTACAGAAGTTGAAGCAAAAATGAATTAATCTGGACACTTTTTTTAAACATTTCACTTTATGCACACAAAAGCAAAAGTGGCTGTTTCTTTTCAACTTAATCATTTTTTCCAAGCAAGGTATAAAACCTGTTAAATGATTTTCTGAAATTATTCACCATTTCTGCTAGTCTGGTGAAAGGAGATTTATCGTCTGTTAAGTACAGCTGAACTTCCTTATTACCCCTTCCTGACTTGCTAAATTTCGTTTTGTTGATTAAGTGAATTCAACTGATGTATCAAAAAATAGTGTAACAATGATGTAATAGTCAACATTTTGAAAAGAACTATCATCACAATTCCCTTAGCATACTATATTCGTAAGCTGAGATGCTCTTCTGAAATTTCGAAGAGATGAAAATGAAATAGTTCCATCTACAACTTAGCCAGCATGCTAATGCTTAGAGGAAATGGCTGACATCGTAACTCTTTCCCGGAAGACTGATGTTTAGTTCTGTTTGAAACGCAACTACATCAGGAATAATAGAAATGCTGCCCGTAGGCTAGATATTTCTCTTATTCATATGAAGTTGATTAAAAAGCGTTATATCGTTGATTTCGAATGGTTTGAACTAGATTTAAGTTTGAAGAAGTGAAAAGGGAAATGTACTTATTCCAACAAAATATCATCTTTTTCACTGTCCTCCGGCAAACCCGCTTTATAAGAGATTTGAGGGTTAATCTATAAAAGATGGAGCATTACTTCAACAAATAATAATCAAATTAACAGAAGAAAGACATTGCAAACCTAAAAAAAACAACATCTTTTATTAACTTATGCACTACATGAATCTCTTTTTTTTGATGTAAAATGAAATTAGAGTTAAGAATTATTAATTCATAGCCAAATTATTCATTTGGTATAATTAAGACGTGTAAGAGAAATAATGGAAAATTAACAAAGGGCGGTAGTTGGGGAAATTTCTTATTTACTCCTTCCGTTTCATACTTTTCTTTTATTTTGAGATATTTGGTTTTTGAGTTTTTTTTTCTTCTCTCTCTCTCTCGCCTTTCGTCCTCTGAAATTGAAACCCTTCCGTAATAACTAGGCAGTCATTTGGATCGATGTTTCTCCAACATTAGTCTCGTGAACTCTCTATCTCTGCTTATAAGTGTAAATTAGAATGATCAAGATCAGATCATATTTGCATAATTCACCTGTTTACATGTTCGTTCAAGTTATTTACCTGTTTGCGATATCTTAGGTGTCATTACCGCCCTTCTTTACTTCCTCACTCCAATCATCCTGTACTTTTTCAACTTTTATTAATCTTTGAAGTTTGTGACGATTATTTTCGCAGACATGCTTTTTATTAGCATTTTGTAGCATTTTATGAAAAATTACTTCATATCTTGACTTGCGCACAATACTCAAACCAAAATTATATCAATCATAAAGAAATATTCACAATTAACAAAGTAACCATCTACAACTACCGATACCTTGGAGAAATCAATTCTATATATTGGCTGTTGGCATCATTGCTTCTCTATTTTCAGGTCATTTCTACAGGATCCCTCGTAGGATAATGATCCGGGAGATATAGCCGCGATATCTTTAAATATGATGACAGCTTCTCAGACCGCTCATGTTAGAAATAGTGAATGGTTTCCAAATATAATAAAACTTCATTTTCTCTTTTTTTTTTCTCGAAAAAAAAGACAAAGGAATATGCGCCATCGAAAGAGAAGTTTCGAGAGAAATTTATTTGCATAAAAGAAGAAAGGCAAGAAGAATTCGAAAAAAGTTCAAAAATATATGAGGGTGAGGTACTTTCAACTCAAAAAAAAAAATGATTCGATGTAGGGAGAAGTTCGAACTGATCTGCTGTTGTTGAATAGATGGCTGTGGACGTTTTCAGGAAGGGAAGCTGACAATGAGGAAGGGAAAGAGATGTATAGGAGGGAAAAAAAAGCACCAGGAGAAGTGAGTGACAGCTATGCGGTAATGTCAATCGATGAGTAAAGGGCGGAAAAGAAATCCGAGCCTTCTAAAAGGATATGTTGCATTATGTCACAAAAAATTTTCGAAAAAATTCAAAGGCTGAGGGAAGGAGAGGGGGAAACCCATCTCATCATCGCCGTCCACACATTAGTACCAGTCGGCAGGTTGACAAGTACATCTTGGCAAAACGCCATATTCGATGGACCCATATTTTGTGGCCGGATTTTTTTTCTCGGGAAACCCTTAAGGGGATCAGAGGGAGAGAAAGAGGGAAGAAGAAAGATGCATTTGTTAAACAATAAGTACCACTCTTTTCTGCTCCGTCTTTTTAAAATCCTCGTGTATTTTCAAATCATCCCAAGTGGCACGAGGTGGTGCAAGCTTCACACAACACACACACACACACACACTCAAAGCACATACATATACACACGCACACACACCCACACACACGCATAGACGCACCCACACACACGCACACATACACTCACATACACGCATACACACACACCCATACAGACAGACAGGTAGACACACACATATATACACACATATACACACACATACACACACATACATACACATACACACACATACACACACACACACACACAAACAGATACCCACAATCGGATGGGATTACAGCGTTGTACATAACCGGACCAGTAGAGATAGAACGTCAATGCTCAGAGATAGAACGTCAATGCTCCAGATATTTCTTTCCATTTGATGGCATCAGCAATTCCTTCAAAACAATTACTGTCACATTGTCACACTCCAAATTCCCATCCTTTGTTTATTTCCTCTTATATTTCAAATAAATCATAAATGTGAATGCTTCCTCACAGTTGACATTTCTTTATTTCACGTTTTACAGTTCATTCTCACAATTGGTCATTACTTCATTATAAATTTTTTTTTTTTCTACATTATTAATACTGGAAAGATATAAATGCATTAATTCTCCCCTCACATTTGGAAGAACCGCTACCGGATTTCCGGAAAAATGAAAATAGGATGGCTATGCTTATTTAGAGTATTAATAATGTAGAAAAAAATGGCTTTCCTGGTCGATGTTCAAACGGACTTCCACTGGAAAATGATGACAAATTTTGATTGGAAATCTATGTTTCGAATTATTGAATTACTATTCTGGAATGCATCAATTCCTCCATCTCATGAAAGCGTCGCTTCTATTGATTTCTATCCTAACGATACTTTTTGGATTGGTGGGGATAATAGATAATATTTTCGTTTCAAGAATAGTGGTCCAAGTTAAGTTTTTTTTTTTGCTATTTCTAAAAGTCTACAAGGAGAGTTTAAGAATCTTTTACTCAAAATACAAATTATTTGAATGAAGGATTGAAAATGTGTACCACATGTACAATGAGTGCTACTCTGCACCAATACTCATTAACTTATTGTCCTGCATCATTTACATAAAATTATTTTGGTAAGCCTATCTTTCTAATTTTCTGTGTGCTACGACTAAAGTTATTTACTCGTAAAATAAATCGAACCGTGTTCACAGACGAACCATTAGCAGCTCGAAATCCGGATAGGCCCATTAACTCCGGTCTCATTTGATATTGCAACAAGTTGTGATTGGTTGGAAACGATGAAAACAGATCTGCAAATTCCAGTAAACGTATGGTTTTGCTTCAACTCACTGCAATTTAATTTTTTTGCTCTTCCGTAATTTGAGATTAAAGTGTTTATAGCTAAAACATGACAAAGGATTCACAGAAATTCTACCACTGATATTAATATTGCTTACAATATTCCCATAATCTATCCTGCAGAAGGTATCACATCTATCTGACCACTTCCTAAGCTCTAGAGCACTTTTTAATCTTGGACTGCTTTCTAATCTGGATTAGTAATGGAGATCTTAATATACTTTTATGGCATCATATCTGCGGAAAAAGAATGATTATACATAGATAATCAAAATGTAAAGGTGTTAACCAGAGTTGTTAAAAGTGAAACTAGCTGGCGGAGCTTCGATTCCCGTTGCTTGTTGCAGTGCGACACCTAACTGACCCATTGGTGGCACCTGATGAGTCTGCTGTGTTGGCTGTGTGCTACTGGATTGTTGTGATGAATTCGACGGTGTTAAACCACCGGATCCGGAACCTTCTGTTGAACGGCTTTGGCTTCTCGCTAAAATATCTAGTTTGACTTTACCACTTTAACACAAGGCCTGATCCTTGTAATTAGGTTTCTCCACCCTCCAGTACATTATATACTATTACATCCTTCATCATGCTACAAGTATCTCATGCATCATGCTACAAGTATCGCTGTTTTAATGATTACATGGCTAACACTTGCAAAGATATTATGACAAGCAAAGGTCCTGAGATGTTTTGTCAGTCAGTTAATATCAAAACAAGCATTATCATTATATTGATCGTCCTACCATTCGTTGAGGTGCCGTTGGGCTGCAAGGAAGTTTGATGCTGCATCGTATACATTTTGGCAGAAGTAACACTTGTTTGTTGGTTAGTGATTGCGGCTAAATTAATAGTGCATTTAATGTGCTTTGAACCTGAGGATAGTACGGAGGATGCTGCTGGTGCTACAGACGAGGAAACTGTTGGTATTACAGAAGTGGATGCTGTCGTTACGGATGATGGCACTGATTCCTCCTGGGAAAACAGTGATGGTCTGTCTAAAAGTATTGCTGATATAATATAGTCTGATATAATTATAAGTCTGTGGGCTGACTCAAAGTCAAACTGGCAGACAGTAAGTACTTTCGAACTTTTACTGACTACCACTGACTGGCAGTAAGTGAAAGTTCGGAAGCACTTAAAATACATAGACACTCCAACATAATACTACTAGTGCTGCTAGAAATCATTTAAGGTCTCGATTTCGCTATAGTTAAATTTAGTTAATGGAATGTTTCTGCAAGGATGGAAAAAGAATATACGAAGTGGAACCGAATTTCTATAAATTTCATGACTTTCAAATCGATATATCAAAGCTGCGGTTAATTATTCGTTCTACTTTGCAACGTGCAACAGCGAGGAATTGACTTGCAGTTTCTCTAAACTTGATCTTACTTTACCGAGTGATAATGTCAATCGGATGGATAGTATAAAAGCCTAAAATAGAAATTTCAAGAAAGCTGGAAATACATTGTGGCGTGATTTGGTCAGTGGTGTTTGATCGGCAGAAACTGCTATCAACCCGATAAAAAATTGGGAACTTTCAAATAACGACCACGGTATAGTTATACTCAATTAATGATAGCATCTTTGACATTGATGTTGTCACACGTATAGAATCTATTGATTTTGATCCTAGTGGCATTTTCAATCGTTTTATATAAAGATTACTGGTTGTTAAACACAAATATATAAGGCACAATTTTGATCCTAATTTTGGCTTGTATTTCTTCATTTATTTTTCAGTTTTATCTTTACACTGCAATTCGGATACGCAAAATTTTAGAACATGATCTGGATATTTTGTGATCAGCAAAATGAACCAACCAGTGGCAGAGGATGAAGTGAGATTCATCAGCCACGTCGAATGGTGACCAACGTTGTAACTTGAACTTAGTTTCCAGACATAAACTGTTGATTTCAGAGGTTCTTGAATTCTTACTTTTAAGGATTACTCTTGGTTATTATTGTTGCTTTTAAACTGCAGTTGCATTCTTGTCGTAATTTCGATCCATATTCTCCTTTGTTGGTATAATCTGAAATTATTTAAGATGGAAGACGATTTTATAATTAAAAAAGTCTGTTGATGAGAAGTTCCCGCTCATATATCAAATCATATGTCATAACTTTATTGCTGCACTAATTTCTTAATCTATGTTTTTTAAAATAAATTTTTTCTTTCTTAATTTGACTATCATTTAGATTGCTTGAACACAAACCATGACTTTTTTAAACAGCGCCACTACTGACTACTATCGCATAGGACTTTTTGAAAAACCCCAACATACTCACTAACAAAACCGATTCTTTAGCAATTCAAGCATTTCGCAATTATTTTTAAATATATTTTTATTGTGTACAGGACTGGAATTTCATGAAATTTCACTATTTGATTTTTTAAAGTTTAAATAATTTTTAAACATAGACTAAATAACTTTACTTATTGTAATAAATAATATTATTTGCAGCATTATTTGGAACCATACATAGTTTGGATAAATTTTCGACTTTTAAAATAAATTGCAGTCTCTGTACTTGATATAAGCATTTGATTTGAAAATGCTGACCAAGGTTCAATATTCAAATCTAAACTGAAGAAGAACTCGGCATCATTAAAGTAATTCTCTCATTCGAAGAAATTTCTTAAATTTGTTACTAATATTTTCCTGTTAATATAGAAATCTTCACTTTGATCGAGATTCCAAAATTAGATGAGGTCCATATAAAGTGCGAAAATGATTTGAAAGTAGGAGATTTCATTCAGGTAGGGGAAGCGGTATAGTTTCAAATAATGCTATGACTTGAAATACCGTCTTCCTCCTCTTCTGCTCAACCGTGCAAGTATACGATATTATTTATTACATAACGCACATAACATACATAACAAATGGCGCCAGCTTGGTAAGCTTATAAAGAATTGTTAGATAGCGGACTTGCTTCCATTCCCAATTACCGTTTTCATAATTATCCTCAAATCATACTTCTCTTTGATTATTGTATGCATATTGCTACTACTATTAGTATGGATCTTGGTAAATCAGACTTTTCCTACACATTTGTGCTTCATAAAGTGATAATATGTTATAGAAGGCTTACTTGCTTATAAATAGCCAGTAGAGGTCAGCATAGTAGCTAGAATGGTAGTAAGCAATACTTCTTGCATATTTATTATGTCGATCCGTTTGGGTTCAACAAAAACAACGGTCACATATTAGCATTTAACATACACAGATGTAAACATTCATTCACAGCTACGCACACATACACACACACGCAGACACACACATACTCACAGACATACACATACATACACACACATACACAAATACATAACAAATGCATATATATATATTT